GCCAAGGCAGGTGGATGGCTCAAGGTCAGGAGTTCGAGACCAGCCTGAGCAAGAGCGAGACCCCGTCTCTACTAAAAATTAGAAAGAAATGATCAGGACAACTAAAAATATATATATATATATATAACATATATATATATATATTATATATATATATATATAAAAATTAGCTGGGCGTGGTGGTGCACGCCTGTAGTCCCAGCTACTCGGAAGGCTGAGGCAGAAGGATCGCTTGAGCCCAGGAGTTTGAGGTTGCTGTGAGCTAGGCTGACGCCACGGCACTCTAGCCTGGGCAACAGAGTGAGACTCTGTCTCAAAAAAAAAAAAAAAAAAAAAAAAAAAGCTGGACCTACCTGCCAGGGCCAGGGTGCACGTGGAACGGAGGAAATGGGATCTCAATCGCATCGCGGGATACGAAGGTATCAGGAAGGGTCTCTGCTTGGTTTAGCTTATTCCATCCTTCCTGAGGGTCTGGCTAAGTTGATCTCTGGGGGATCTTTCCTCTTCTTCGTTGATGGAACTGAATCATGATTCTGGCAGAAATGGGAAGGCAAAGAGACCCTCTGTTGGCCAAGACAGGAAACTGCTGTCTGGGAACCATGCATTTCCCTGTCAGGGACAGGACAGGCACAGCTAAGGGATGCTGGTGTAAAACTCACCATCAATATTTCAGGCAGCATTATTTATTGATCACTCATCTGGCTGGGACAAAAGAAGAGGGTAGTTCATGGGGGATGCAGGGCTGGTGGGGTCAGCTTGGGAAAGAGGTCAGGGAAAGGTGGGTCATTGAGGAGCACCACCCCCTGCCCCTGCAAGAATACTAGGGTTCCTCTTTCAACCACAGTGCCCTAGACGAAAATAAGGGAAGGAGCAGGCGGCGGAGACACCTGGAGCAGTCCTGGGACTGCCACTGAGGCCATCAGGGAGACCATGTCCAGGCAATACTGTGGCTGTGTGAGCTTCCCCACCTCTAGACCCAAACTCCTCCTCCCCAGTTCCCTACCCCATGCTCCCCTCCTGACTCTGAAATCAGCTCCAGCAGCCTCTTTCGCAGGTCGGGTCCCCTTGGGCGGCAGGGCCCTCCCGGGCCAGCCTGGCAACCTCCCTGCTCCGGCAGGGTGCCTGACCCTCACCCAGCGGGGCGCCTTCTGGGTCTGACCATCTCCTGGGGCAGGGGCGGGGACGTGCGCACGAGCCGGGCTTAGGACGAGATTGCTGGAGCGTCCGCGCTGTCCTGTCCACCCTCAAGGGTGCTTTCTTCATGAACCTCAGCTCAGGGAGCGGAGCAGGAGGCGCTCTGCTCGCCACGCCTTGAGCAGTTCGGCCGCGGGAGAGGACTGTCCCTGCGGCCCGGGAATGCACACTGGGAGGCAGCTGCGCCACCTCGTGGGCCTTTTCCAGCCTGCAGGCCTCCCTCCTGTCCAGGCTGCCTCCAGCCTCCGTCTGGAGCACGCTCTCAGACGCGACCGCGGGACCGCGCAGAGGCCGCTGCCTGGCTCTAAGGACTTGGGGCGCCCTCCTCCTCCAGACAGACCTGATCCAGCTCAGAGAGGGAAAAACTGGGGCCATTTGGGAGGGAGATAGAAGATCATGTACTGGCTGAAATTTAAGGTAGTGGGGAAGCCAGCAGGGGCTTTGGGTCTGGAAAAAAGACCCTATCATCCTGGATGCCACAGATCTGGGGACCATGGCCCGGGGCAGCCCCCAAGGCCCCTCCCTCCTCTGCCCGCCTCCTTCCAGGCTGAGCAAAGCTGGGCTGAGCTCTGCCCATCAAGGGAGAGCTGGCACAGGCTGGAAAGACTGCTGGCTTTCTTTCCTCTGACGTCACGGCCTGGAAATCCCATTTAAAGCAGGTTCTCTGAGTATGAGGCCCTGACAAGAAGGGGAGGAGAAAGAGCTGAAGTAGTTCGAGGCCTGAGGCCATTATAGTGAGGGACCTCAGGCCCGAGGGACTGCCCAATGTTCCCACGGAGGCCTGGGCATGACACACAGCGCTAGACCGCAGCTCAAGCCCCCAACCCAAAGCTAATACCTCTCAAAGCCCCGTGAGGACCTAGGCAGTGACCTAGCACCCTCCTCATAGCTCACATCTCTTTCCTGCCCCCTGACCGGGAGAGATGTACAGAGGCAGAGGGTAGGGGGAGGTGGAATGAGGGGAACAAGGAGACAGCAAGGGGTCACCTAAGCCCAGACATGTCCCACCAACCAGCCTCTTCCCAGGAGCTTTCCACCCGTTCTTTTGATCACCCTTCGTCTCTCCTCTCCTTCTCTGCACCACAGGGGCAGGCCCTGTGCCCAGAGTTCTAGAAGCCTGAATGTTTCCATGGCAACAGACCAATGAGTGTGGAAATCTGAGCATGTCCTTGTCGATATAAGAAAGCACAGATGTGCATGGAGAGCCTGGCATTGTAGAGCCCGGCAGTGCCCTCCTTAGCTGCCAGTCACCGTGGGTACGAGCAGGTATCTGAGTATGAGCAAGCGTGTGTTGTGTGTGTGGTACACAGCGAATGAGATTCAGGTTACAGAGTGCCTAGCCGGGCTTTCTGGCCATATGGTAGCTGTTAGCCTGGGACTGCAGCATCTTACTCTCTGGGGATCTTTTTTTGAGACAGAGTCTCACTCTGTTGCCTGGGGTAGAGCGCCATGGCATCATCATAGCTCACAGCAACCTCAAACTCCTGGGTTCAAGGGATCCTCCTGCCTCAGCCTCCCGAGTAGCTGGGACTACAGGTGTGCACCACCATGCCCAGCTAATTTTTTCTATTTTTTTTTTAGTTGTCCGATTAATTTCTATTTTTAGTAGAGACGGGGGTCTCACTCTTGCTGAGGCTGGTCTCGAACTCCTGACCTCAAGTGATCCTCCAGCCTTGGCCTGAGTGCTAGGATTACAGGCGTGAGCCACCACGCCTGGCCTGGGGATCTTTCTAGAATGAGTCTGGCCACTGAATTCTACCCTGGCAACTTCAGAGGCTGATGGTGAAAGGAATGACCTTCAGAGGGCTGGCTGAGTGGAGGATTCTAAGGGAGACAGAAGGGACATGTCACATCCTGCCCTATCACCTCAGTCCAGGAGGTTCTTGGCTAACTAGCTTGGCTCGTGTGGCAGGTGGATGTGCCCTGTGATGCCAGGCAAGGAGGAGGAAAGCTTCGTTTTGGGGCATTTGTGTAGGGGTCCAGAGTCTGGTTCTAGGCTCTACTCACACCCCCTACCCACCCCATGTTCTGCTTCCTCTACTTTCCTTCCACAAGGCTGAGCTGCTATTTCTCTGCTCCCCGTCCCTCCCTCGCTCTCCGCTCTCTTCCTCTGTCCATCTCTCCTCCTGTGCTGCCCCCTGCTCCTCTGCCCTCCTTTCCCTTCCCCTGGAAGGCCCACGCCCAGCCAGTTGTGCTGCTTGGCACCTGGTAGCTTCGGCTCCACGTCCCCAGGCTCAGACCCTGTCCTTGCTCCACCTCTCCTCCAACCTTGCCCAGCAGCTCAGGCCTTGGTGCTGTCCTTTCCCAGTGCCACACTGGTGTGCCTCTCTGGCCCCAGCCCTTGGTTCCCAGTCCTCAGGATCCACAGGCTGGTTCCTTCCCAGCCCGTCTTGGCTTCCCCTTCTCTGCGTCTGTCCTTAACCCTTTCAGGGTCTCAGGTTGAACCTGCCCACCCCCAGCATTTTTTGGCTTTTCTAGGCACTGTGGCCACCAACCAATCCCCGAGCCCTGCATGGCAGTCCCACAGCCCATCCTCTCTCCCTTGGGGGCCTCACTAGGGTCTCTGTCCCCAGAATATACACCTGGCACTTTCTGTGGGCCAGAAGGTCCACTGGGGTTTTGGGTGGCATCCTGAGAGTTCTTGGGGGTTGGGGCCCTTGGGCCTTAAGTCCTGGCCCCTCTTAGGCCACTGGCCCCTCGAAACCGTTTTCCCAGACTGAATCAACCTAAGCTCGTCTCTCCCCTGGGGCTCAGAGCTCCTACCGTTCAGTCTGGCCTGTTCCCCCCCACCCCACAGCTGGGCCCTGCTTCTCACTTGAGGTCCTTCCTACCTGTGACGGACTGGGTGGGGCAAGAACAAAGCACAGAGGCCAAAATAAATGCGGTGCCAGTGTGGTTTATTGGCTCATCCAGTGCCAAAGGTCCAACAGGCACCCTCTCTCCAAGGAGCTGGGAGCCCCGCAGCCCCCACACTTCTGTCTTCGTCACATGTCCCTCTTGGTCCTGATTGATGCCATGGCAGAAGCTGGGCCAGGGTGTGGGATGAGGCTGGGCTCCAACAGGGTTCTGCTCATACAGGGCTCAGTCTGCTTAGTGCAGGAAGGGGACCCTGGGGCAAGGGAGGACAGGCCCCCAGGGAAGAGGAAAGGAGACAGCTCTGCAGGGGCCTGTGTAGTGGGCCCTGAGGAGTGGAGGAATCCAGCCAGGGCAGGGTGGGAATGGGGTGACATAAAAGGGATCGAGGGCAGGGGAGGAGGTGAGAGGCCCCTCGGACCCCATTCTCTCATGAGCAGGTTCCACCGAGGCTCAGAGACTAGAAGGGAGGGGCGGGGGGGCGGGGAGGGCCAGCTGGAGTGGGAGGAGGGCACTGCTGGAGGGAGAGTTCTTTACCCAAACTTCCCCAGCCCTAGACCCAGACAGACACACACACACTCGTTCACACACACCTGGAACCCCACCTCCTCCGGTGGGGACACGGAGCACACAGCCCAACCCAATGCCTAGGAAAAGGGCCCCTGCTGCAGCTCCGGCCTGGCCACCCTGGTCACTGAGCACACACTGACACGCTGCCTCCATGCGCAGCTGCGGCCTGGCAGTCGCTGCCCGAGTCCCTCGAGGCCTTCCCTGTTTGCTCCCTTTCTCCAGGTGCCTTCAGGCCCGTCCTCGGTCCACCTGGGCTGTGGCTGCCCCTCACCCCCAAGAGCGGGGAGGGCATGTTAGGACTTCAGAAAAGCGAGTGGCCATGGTCTTCAGCAAGGCACTGGGCGGGTGGGGCAGGGCTGGAGCAGGGAGAGCAGCGGTGCAGGTCGACCAGTCCCCACCTCCTGGGGCAGCTCAATCCCCAGCCCCTGGTCCAGCCTCTACCCTCAACCCCCACAGCTGGGCCCCCCTCCTCTTTTCCAAGCCCCTTCCAGAGAAGTGGCCACTGGGCAGGCACCGGAAATGGCTGAGGGGGCCACAGGGGCCTGAGACACCTGGCTACTGGCACAGTGTGGAGCGGGGGCTGGGGCCAAGCCCTTCCTGAGGCTTCCTCCTTGTTCTGCAGCCTTTGGGCTGGAGGACCTCAGGCTGAGTCGCCCCCAACAGGGGTCTTCTTCTTGGGCCGGGTCTTCAGCGTCTTAGAAGTCAGTGGCTGTGGCAAGGAGGAGGAAGACAGGGCTCCGACTGGCACTGCAGCCCCCGCCCCCTGTCCCCAGGCTCTGCCTGTGCTCTCACCTCTGCTTTGGGCATTTTTTTGATGGATTTGGCCCTCTTGGGAGCCTTGTCTCCCAGGTCATCCTCAGAGGCCTCTGTCCGGGGATCTGCCTGGTTTGTGCCAGATCTTAAACTCAGGGCAGGATCATCTCCTGGTTGCAGGGAGAAAAGGAAACCAGGGGTCTTCCCCACCTGGCCTCCTTGCCCTGGCGACCCCCTGCCCCCACCCTGGGCCCTGCCAGTACCTAAGTCCTCGATGGTGTCCAGAAGGCCGCTGGGGCTGGGTCGGAGGCGGCCATCAGGCCCCTGAAGGGGCAGTGCATCCTCATCCCGGATCAGGGTCAGGTCCTGCATGCTGAAGCTTCGGAGCTTCTCCGACAGCACCCCCTGGCCCTAGGGTCACCACCACGCACCGGAGAGCCGGGGGAAGGGGCGGGGTGGAGAGAGAGGTCACTATGGCGCTGGCAGCAGCCCTGGGCTCAGTGCTTTGCCCACACTGCCCTCCCCCAGTCCTATGCAGCACTGAGAGGCTGGGGCCATGCTGGGCAGATGAGGAAACTGTGGCCAGACGGTGGAAGTGACTCAGCCGGAGGGGGGGCCAGCCAGGACTGGAACCCCAAAGCCTCTACAGCCCCAAGGACAGGGTGGGCACCAAGGGGCCTGGCCAGGGGCACAAGATGAACAAGGTGGGGGTCCTAGGAGTCTGGGTCTGCCCCCATCTCACCTTGGCAGCAGCTGTGACTGCAGCATTGGCAGCCAGGTTGAGGCCCCTCTTGCCCACCCTCATCATGGTCTCATAGCTCTTGTCTCGGGCCTGCGTGATGTACTCATCTATCTCCTGAGGGGTTGGAGGAGAAGGAGGTGAGAAGGAGGTGAGAGGGGGGTGCTGCTGTTGAGGCCTGCTCTGCTCTTGTGCACACCTGGGCAAAGGCACTGCCTGCTCCAGGAAGCCATGGCCCTGCCAGGTCACTTCAGGCTCTGGGCACCCCCAGGGAGAGCCAGGAACATGCGTGGCTGCAGGCGCTGGGCTGCCTGGGCTGGGGGCGGGCTGGGAAGTAAGCTGAGAATGGGGGCAAACCTTCTCCTTGTTGGACAGCGTTGGGTGCACGAACTTGCGGTAGAGCACGCTGGAGCCCTTGGTGTAAGGGGACAGCAGCCATATTACGAAAGCGATCTTGAGCTCAAAGTAGAAGGGGAACCTGTTGGGGCACAGAGGTAAGCACAGAGTATAGGGCAGGAGGTGCACCGGGCTTAGCGCTGGCCCCACACATGCCAGAAGTCCCTCACGCCTCCGTGCCCTGGGGTCCCCACAGGTCTCATGGGACTGGTCGTTTCTAATCGCAACGGACTCCAGATGGGACTGTGAGAAATGACCCCAGAAGGAACTTCCCCCAGAGGCGGCTCTCCTCGCCCCGCTTCTCACTGCTAGACAAGACCTCCGTTGCTCTGCCCTGGAGTCAATGCCAAGATGAACTCCCTAACCTTGCAGGCCCATGCCTGGGTCATCACCCCCTTCCCTTCCTGCTCCCTCCCCTAAAGAGGACCGAGCCTTCTCCAGCTGTGCTCTGGGTCCCCTCCCTCACTGCCATGACATGCACCTCGCGCTTAAGGATTGCTCTCCATTCCCCACAGTTCCTTCTCCTCTGTGCTCACAGCGCCCTCAACCAAAGCTCTTTCCTTTGCCGCATCAAGAGGCATCTGTATCACTACCCTCCCTTTCTAACCCATCTCTTTCCTTTACTGAAACTATTTTTCTTGAATACAAGGGCCCTGTCTACAAATGCAATGAACTCTTGTCCTCTGCCCCTTGGTAAAACTCTGTTCTCTCGAAGGCCAATGTTGTTAGTGTTGTCGTCTTCGCTTCTAAGAGGCACGTGCTCACTCAGGAAATGTTTCTGAGCTCCTGCCGTGAACGTGCATACGACTAAGACATGTTCCCTGTTCTCAAAGTGCTCCGACATGCATAGTCCAGTAGTGCCTGGAGAATGCCTCGGAAATGCGAGCATCCAGTGTTTATGGGATTCAATCACGTGCCTATTTTACAAACGGGGAAATGGAGGCCTAGAGAGCTGTGATCTGCCCAGCGTCGCAGGCAGCGTGGCGAAGTGGGTTTCCCGAATTCTATTGTGGTGCTTTGGCTGACACCAGAAAGATGCCGGGGTGATGTCTGTTCGTATTCTGCTGATCAGGACCGCTGGGAGTAGGGGACTCCACCCTGGGTGTCATCTTTTGTTTGGCTGACTGGATAGGGAAAGGCAGGGGCCCTGGGCCCTGGGATGAGGAGGGTTCTGGACCTCACCAGGAGAGCACTATGTCCGTGAGCGTCTCGGCCGTGGTGAAGAAGGCAAAGACGATCCAGTACATCATCCATTTCACCTGAGGGCACAGAGGGCAGCATTCACTGGGGCCTGGGGCTGAGGGTCCAGGAACACGTAGGACCCCCAACCCTGCCTGCCGATCATGCCAGGTGATGGGACACCCAGGACCCTCCTTTGCTGAGTATTGTTAGTGGCTGATGGCATCGGTACAAAGGAATGTGACACACTGTCCTCCCCGATCTCTGACATGTGGGCTGGGGAGGGGGTGAAGGGTCGTTCACTCACATATTCCTTCACGTTTTTTGTCTTCACCGCCTTGTAGGAAGAATAGGCTGGGTACAGGGTGCCAAAGATGAGCCTAGGGAGGCAGGCATGGTTACTGGGCCCACTGGCCACGAGCAGTGGCCTCTCCCTCCCAGCTCTGCATCAGCCCCTGGGTAAGTAAGGGGAAAAGGGACAGAATTCCCAGGGCCATGTCAGCTGGACTGATGAACTCAGGTCCGGGGCTAAGGTCAAAGCAGTCAAGATTCAGGTGACACACATCAGGCCCCAGCCAGCTAGGGTGATGCCCCTCCCCCCTCCATTGTTCAGTTTTTCTTTAGTCCCTGAGGCAAGGACAGACCCAGAGGCCAGAGGGGCCAGTGTGGTCCCTTCAGCTATGATCCTTGGGGAGTCCTGGGGAGTGGGGGTCTTGTCACTGTCACCGGGGTGTCTTCCTTCTGAACCTCATGCCTATTCACATGCATCTGCCCTTACCCTCCACCTCCCTGTCTCAGAGCCAGGCTGTGTAGGGGCCTCTCTGCAAGGGAACTCAACACCACCCAACAGGGCACTCTACCTGGCAGTCAGAGGCACTACTGTGGCCCTGGGGACCTGGGGAACAGAGGGCACGGGGGCAGGAGGTCCTGGGAAGGGCAAGAGATTTATTCCTCCACGTAAACACCCCGGGCCCAGGCTCAGGGGAGGGTCCTGGCTGGTGATCCCATTACAGAGCACAGACAGGAGGGAAGGAAGGGGAGGAAGAGGACCAGCGCCCTTCAGGGAGCGTGCCCAGGCAGGAGAGAAGCCGCCACCCTGAAGGCCACACGGAAGTATGAGGCCCCTAAATTCCCTCTGGGGTGGGATGGGAGGAGAGAAAGGAGAGGACTCCAGTGCGTCTAGATGAAACCAGGACACAAGCATGTGACAGCGCTGAATGGGAAGAAGGCAGCAGGGCGGGGCTGTGGAGTGTCAGCCCTGGTAGAGGCTGAGGGGCAGGGTCCTGAGCCAGGGCAGGAGTCAGGCCCAGCCCCTTGACAATTGTGTGGATGCCGCCTGTTCCCACATGGGCCCGCCTGACAAGGCAGGATACTTCCAAACTGGCTGGTGCGGATGGAACAGAACGCAGGGCAGAATCCTCAAGGACAAAGTGTGGGTGGGGGTAGAGGGCAGGGGTAGGAGGGGGC